CTGTGCTGCGCGGCTGCGTGCATGGCGGCTTTCGTGGCGACAGCGAAGGTAAGGGGAGGGCTCGTGTTGTAGGGCTTCGCCGAGTGTTTCTTGACAGGAGGGGAAGAATCTACCGTCGGTGCAACGCTGCGGTCCATGGTGCAGGACTTTTTCTTCTGCAGTTGGCGGAGAAGGCGAAACACTCTTCAATGTCACAGCTCGGGTGAGTTCATTCCCCTGTCGAAGGTTTGGACGTGAGACCCGGCAAGGCTGGAGACGCAACCGATCCTGTGGGCAGCGGAGGTGGGGCGGAGGCACGTCCTGGCGGCGGAGTGATGCCCACCGCCCAACGGGGTACTCTGTCGAACGCCAGCGCCAATGCGCTGCCAGCTAAGGGCGTCATTGCTGACGTCTCGCTTGGCAAGGCAAACAGCGGCGGCAGCAGCATCCCTCAATGGGGTGCGTGCGGCGCAACCGCGGCTGCAGCTGGCGCTCCTGCCTTTGGCGTCTGTTGCTGTGGGCAGAGGCTAATGGTGTGGATAGGGGCAATGTTTCTTACCTGCTTGGACGAACCCTTTTTTTGTTTCCTTAATGATTTTTGTTGTTTACAGAGTTGCATTTTCCTTCCTTTCTTTGCTGGGGGCCTACCAAATTTTTTTTGGAGTATTGTGCTACTTTTCACAGAGCGTAAATTTGTTGCCAACTATTTTTGTGTGATTTAAATTGCGTATGTGTTTTCTGAGGACGTTAAGGGTCTCCTTTGTGGTTTCATCCAGCTTAACCCTCTCGCTTCTACGAAATAAGGCGGGCTAAGAGCATCTGGCAATTGCATTTCTTGCGTACGCTGTGTACTGGAAGAAGTCGGTAGACTTGATTGTGCTTAGCTATCTTCTTTGGACTTTTATTGAGGCATATGTGGGGCAGTGTGCGAAATCATTTTCCGCTGCTTTTGCTTTGTAAGGGTTTCACGGGGCAGACAAGGCGTCGCTTATGCTACCTGAGCTTCGGCCAATGTTGTAGGGAAGCCGCGCCCGTCATTCCCACAGCGGCCTATCGCCCGCCCTGAGCCTTTTGGGTTTTGTGTGTTATGCATTATTCCCTGTCTAATCACTCTGATGAGCCGCACGACAGCTACCGTCGCAGAACAAATTCGTCTCTAAAAGATTTGCATGTGAAGTAGGGCATCTCGAATGGCTTGCGGCTCGTAAACAGTCTTTTTTTTTTTGACGACTAGCCGTCGTATTCTGGACGTGTCGAGTTATCGCTTTTGCTTCCAAGGGTGGAGGACGCCAAGGCAGGGAGCAGGTGAAACAGTTTCATCTCACCGGGACCCCATTTTTCTCCATACGCTGCGGGGCGAGGGTGCTGGAAGGCAATGTGTGGCGCATTGACACCATTCCAAGGGCCTGCTGCTGCAGGAACGACAATTTTCCGCGACGACTACGGCAAACGCGTGCCATCCTTGTTAGCGTTGCAGCATTTAAAAGATAACAGCTGGGCAGAACTGCACCAGCCCAAGCAGAGCCTTATATATATTTATTTATATTTATATTTCATCGAGCGATACATGTCTCGCATACCAAAAGTGAAAAGAGCGAAACAATGCATGATTAGAAAAACCACAGCCTTTACCTCCACCTGCGTTAAAATTCAAAAGGAATGTTATTACTCAAGAGGGGAGAGGAAACAACAAAATAAAAAACTTTTATAATATAATTTGCTATTCTCCTCCTCAAAGAACTTGAAATTCACACGGTAGCCAAAATGCATACAACACAGTCAGGCGAACGAAACGTTCTTTTGCCACTGCTGCAGCAAGGAGAAGCAAAGAACCCACAAAATTATGCTTTGGTACTCGTTTTTCTCGGAACAGCGAGCGTAGGAATTGCCTCGATGGGCCTTGCGTGGTGGCACCGTGCGGACTACTTTCATCACCAGGGGTCCTATGACAGTGGTTGGGTTGGTTACGACGTGTTCACGTTCATTGGCCTGCTGCTGTTCACCGCGTGCTTCTCTGTCGGTGTGACGCTGCTGTATGTGGGTGTGAGCGCCATGCTGCGCATGTGGCACAACACACTGGGGCTGGCCGCTTTCTGTGCCGTGGGCACAGTCTTCACTGCGGTTGGGTGCCTGGGAATGGCCTGGGGGAAGGAGACAATGCAGTGCCTGGGAGTCTTCTGCGTCAACACCAAAAAGTACGTGGAGGTGCCTGGGATGAGGCCGGAGGCTGGCACCGGTTTCCTTTCGACCATTGGCATCACGGTGTTCTTCTCGCTTGCGCCGATGGGCCTCATGATGCTGCTGCAGGTGCCCTGAGGGCGACCGGCGTCGATCGCCGTGGGCTTGCGCCAAGGCGCC